AAATCTGTTCATTTCTTCTAGATTTTCAAATTTTTTGGAGTACAGTTCTTCATAGCTTCCTGATATTATCCTTTTTATTTCAGCTGGTTCTGTTGTGGCATTGCCCAATTTGTTTCTTATGCATTCTCTCCCTCTTTTTTCTTTGTTTGTCAATTTTATTAATCTGTTCAAAGAACAACTTCTAGTCTTGTTGATTTTTTTCTGTTGTCTGTTTTCTGTTTCATTGATTTCTACTTGAATCTATTATTTCTTTTCTTCTGGTGACTGTAGGCTTTTTTTTTTTTTTTTTTTGCTGCTCTTTGTCTCATTGTTGGAGATGTTGGGTTAAGGTGTTGATTTTGAGTCTTCTTTTTTGATGTGTGCATCCATTGCTATAAATTGCCCTCTAAACACTGCTTTTTCTGTGTCCCAAAGATTTTGGTATGTTGTGCTTTCTTTCTCATTTGATTCAACCAATTATTTAATTTCATTTTTTATTTCTTCTATTACCTAATCCTTTTTTTTTTTTAAATTGTAATTTGGGTGAAAGTTACAGAGCAAGTTCACTTTCCATATAGCAGTTCACACACACACGTTGTCTTATGACATTGACTACAATTTACCCCAATGCAACAGCTCCCCCCACTTCCTCCTGAAAGTTACCTCTTCCCTCTGTCCATCCATCCATCCATGTACTCCTACCCCCTGAAATGTCTCCCTGTGCATAAATAGCCCTTCTTTCTCCTATGATTGTTCTTTCCAAGGAGTGTATCTACCTCAGGTACATGTTCAAGTCATATGCTTGTCTTTTGTTTGGCTAGAAGCCATAGGTGTGGGTTCAATTCCAGACGTGAAGGGCAGCCAGGGACCATAGTCTCAGTGGTTCCACCAGGCTCTATCAGACCACCGAAACTGGTCCCTTTTTTTTTTTTTTTTCCAAATGATTTTGAGTTTTATTCCACATGGTTCTCCCTCTCTATCCAGGATCTCCTACATAGATCCCCCTCCAAGTGGTTGACAGTGGTAGCCGGGCACCATCTGGTTCTTCTGGTATCAAGTCATATAGGCTGAGGATCGCATGGTGTACCAGTCGCGAGGACTAATTGTTTCCACGAATCTTTGGTTTTCTTCATTCTTCTTTGCTCTGGACAAGGAGAGACCCATCATTGAATCTAGATGGCTGCTTGCAAGCTTTTAAGATCCCAGTCACTACCTGCCAAAGTAGGAGGTGGAACAATGTTTTGTGCAGTATTTTATGCCAATTGAGCTTGATGTCCCCTGCAACTATGGTCCCGAACGCACAGGTTCAACTACTCAGTCCCTCTGGGTAGCTAGCTGTGACCAAGAAGTGACTACAAACTTGTCCCTTGTCAACTCTATTATACCTCTGGGAATTCTTACAAAACATACAAATACACTTGTAGAACCATTGTCTGCCAACCCTATACATGGTCTTGGGTACACTCCCTGCTGCATGTTGTTGTTGTTGTTGTTACATGCAGTTGAGTCGGCCCTGACTCATAGTGGCCCCTCCTTGGGTTTCCGAGGCAGTATCACTACAGAAGTAGGATTGTCCAACCTTCCTTCCCTGCTGCATAGACATACTTAATAGTTCAGCCTGATCACCCATCTATTCCCCCGTATACCTGTGTTTGCCTTCACTGACAAAGCAGTACTGTATGTGCAAAAGGGTTCATCTTTGTTGTCTGCACCTCCCATGTACCCCTCTATATCTTCCTCTTCCTCAATGCCACCATGCTGATCACTCACATTTGGTACATTGCCCTTCTCTTCACCCAAATCAATACTTATCTATATCTATCTAACTGTGTTCCCTTCCCTTACCACCCAACCCTGGTAACCAACAAAAAAAATTTACTTCCATATATAAACCATCCCTTGACGTTTACAGTAACAGACTAATACAATATTTGTCCTTCTGTGATTGACTTATTTCACTCAGCAGAATGTCCTCCAAGTTCATCCATGTTATGTGGTGTTTTGCAGATTCTACACTATTCTTTAGGGTTGCATAGTATTCCATTGTGTGTATGTACCATAGTTTGGTTATCCATTCCTCAGTTGATGGACACCTAGGTTGTTTCCAACTTTTTGCTATTGTAAATAGTGTTGCGATGAACATGGGTGTGCATATATCTGTTCTTATCCTGGCTCTCACTTATTTAGGATATATACCTAGTAATGGAATGGCTGGGTCAAATGGTATGTCTATTTCCTACTTTTTAAGGAATTGCCATACTGCTTTCCACAATGGTTGTACCATTTTACAGTCCCACCAGCAGTGTATGAGTGTCCCAATCTCTCCGCATCCTTGCCAGCATTTGTTATTTTCTGTCTTGTTGAACTTTGTTACGAGTGCTGGGGCAAGGTGGTATCTCATTGTTGTTTTGATTTGCATATCTCTAATAGCTAATGATCACGAACATTTCTTCATATGTGTGTTGGCCGCCTGATTATTGTCCTTGGTGAAGTGTCTATTCATGTCTTCTGTCCATTTTTTAATTGGATTATTTGTCTTTTTGTTATTGAGGTGTTGGAGTTTTCTATAAATTCTTGAAATAAGTCCCTTGTCAGATATGTCATTTCCAAATATTCTTTCCCAATCTGTAGGTTCTCTTTGGACTCTTTTGGAGAAGTCCTTGGAAGCACATAAAAGTTTAATTTTTAGAAGGTCCCATTCATCTAGTTTCTCTTCTGCTGTTTGTGCACTTTGGGTTATGCTTGATAGTCTATTTATGCCATATATTAGAGCCCCTAAATTTGCCCTTAGTTTTTCCTTGAGGAAATAGTTTTAATTTTCACATTTAAGTCTTTGATCCAGCTGGAGTTAGTTTTTGTGCATGGTGTTCTATTACCTAATCCAGTTTTAAGGAGGGTATTTTCAGTTTCCATGTGTTTGTTCTTTTTCCATTGATCTTCCTATTGTTAATTTCTAATTTTAAAGCATTGTGATCTGAGAAGTATTTTACAGTATTTCAATATTTTTAAAGTTATAGAGGCTTTCTTTGTGGCCTAACATATGGTCTATCCTGGAGAATGTTCCATGTGCACTGGAAAATAATGTATATTGTGCTATTGTTAGGTGAAGTGCTGTATAGATGTGTGTAAGGTCAACTTGGTGGATTGTATTGTTTAGTTCTTTTGCATCTTTGTTGAGTCTCTTTCCAGTTATTATATCTTTCATTGAAAGTGATATATTAAAATCTCCTCCTACTACTGTAGATTCATCTGTTTGTCTTTTCAATTCTGTTGAAGTGTGATTTATATATTTTTGGACTCTTTCCATTGGATGCATAGATATTTATTATGGTTATGTCCTCTTGTTCAATCAATCCTTTAATCATTGCATAATGCCCTTCCTTGTGTCTTTTGGTGGTTTTTGTCTTAACATCAATTTTATCAGAAATTAATATTGCCACTCCTGCTCTTTTTTTATTGCCATTTGCTTGATATATCTTTTTCCAAACTTTGAGTTTTAGTCTATTTTTTTCTTTGTCTCTAGGGTATGTCTCTTATAGACAGCATATTGATGGGTCATGTTTTCTTATCTGGTAGCAGCAATAGTTTTGTGACATTTTTAGTTTATATCATATGTGTGGTGCATGCATATGTGTATATATTGTAAAAAAATGTATTTTTTAGCTGTGAATCATGGTGAAATATGTTAGAAAAACTGTCTTAGAGAAAATTTTGCACATGTGCACCAGGAGACATGTATAGGTATGTGTTTATCAGGAATGCTTTTAATAGGAAAACAAACTAGAAACAACTCAAGCATCTTTCAAACAACAGAGGAACAAACCAGTAAGTTATGATATAATCATACAAGGGAATGCTATTCAGAAGGGAAAATAAATGAACCACAACCACATGTATAATTGTCAGAAACAAAATATTAAATTAAAAATCAAGTTGTAGAGGGGTATATATGTCACATCATTTATATGAAGTTTAAAAGTATGCAGAGCTAAAAACATACTGATTAGGTCTGTGTATCAGGGAAAAATGGAAAAGAAGAGCAAGGGTTTGAAAAGCGCAAAAGTTAGGATGGTAGTTACTTCAGTAGGGGTTTAGGAGTGGAGGAATGGGAACTGGAAGGGGCACACAGAAGGCTTCAAACGTACTAGTAATGTTTCTTAAGATGGGTGGTACATACACTGAAGTTCATTTCATTATTATTTTTATTTTTTCACATATATCATGTATTGTAAGTAAAGAATAATTATAAAGTCAAAGCAAAAGTAAATATATATACTTATTTCCTAGTTTGGTATCTCCCCAAGGGTCAGACAAGAAAAACCCTACACACGATTCTTATGCTATGTGCACTTCTAGAGAGGTGCTGTGATAATTATGATTTGTCCATCACATCTGTTCTATGATTTCAAACCACTCAATCTCTTCCACTCCTCCCCCAGTCTATTATATCCAGCTTGTGTTGCTCTGTGGTAAGGATATTTGTGTAGGTCAACTAGTGTTTGTTCTATTTGCTTCTTTAGAGAGCTCTCTAAAGCTGTTCCTTCCCATCCAGTGAAACCTTCACTTGGTTTTAGGTACATTAATTTAGCATGTGATAGCAAACAAAAATCCACTGCTATAGAGTCAATTCTGACTCATAGTGACCCTATAGGACAGACTAGAGCTGCCCCTAGGCTTCCAAGGCTGTAAATATTTATGGTGTAGATTGCCTCATCTTTTTCCTGTGGAGCGGCTGGTATGTTTGAACAGCAGCATTTTGGTTAGCAGCCCAATGCTTTAACCACAGCAGCACCAGAGTTTCTTATGTGAGAGGTACCTCCCCCTAATTTCCAACCCATTTTAAAAATATGTGTTTGGTGATTTCAAGAAGAGTTAATTGCCTGAGTTCAAGCCACTGTTTCTAATTAAAAATCCTATTGCTAGTTTTTAATGTGTAAGTACCTCCTTAATAAGGCCGTGGTGTAGAGATTGTTATCACAACTGTAGAACTGTCATCCCAAACAGTGCTATTGCCAACTTACCCTTCATTACAAGAGTAATTAGCAGTCGATCCAAACAAATTGTCTGTGTTCCCATACACATAGCCATTAGTGGGCTCCGGAGGAAGTCCACATGATTTACCTATGGAAAAGAAGCATAATTTTGGGACTGAGTATGGAATACTCTGAGCTTTTGTTGGAACAGAAGGTACCAACCTGACTGTAGCTTTCTGAAGAGCATTTATATTTCTGATGGTTCCACAAAATTTAGCATCTTGAGAAACTCACTAGATTGCCTCAGGATTAGCCACCACCTAATAAGCATCACTTCCAGAAAGACTTTCTGTCCAGATCTGTCTAATCTCTACATTGAGCCTTCCAGAAGAATATAAAGCTCATTTATTACCAAATAGTTTTATTGTCATTCAACCAGCATACATAAAACATCTCAAAACATGGGATTTTCTCCCTACTTTGTTATGCAATATAATTTTCTTTCCTGCCCTACGTTATTCATTAGTCAGTTTTAGTCACTAAAATGGGAGACCCCTACTGAATGGGGATTTTCCCTCAATCATGCCTTGTGATGGTCATTTCTCATGAAATGAACTTGTAAGGAAGGTGCTGGAAACTCAAAGTAGAAAGAAGATATGATATACAAGAGTAATTTTCACACTCATTATATACTGGGCAAATTTGTTAAGTCATACATGTCTTAGTTTCAAAATTTGAAGAAATTGAATCAAATCTAATGGATGTTTAATTGACGCAAAAGAGTTCCCAGTCCAGAGTTACTCACGTTTGCAAAAGTTTTCTGCGTTTGACCAGGTCAAGTTTTCTAGGCAGATGATATTGAACAACTTCCTAAAGTATCCAGGGCGGCATTCATACTTCAAAGATGTCCCAATGGGAAATTCAGAGTCATCTTTTGGGGTTGTAGGCTTGGCAAATGAAAACACTTCTGGGGTCTTGCATTGACCTGGAGACCAAGACCACAGCAACACCAAAGTTAACACAGAAATTTCTACTCCACTTTCTCTTTCTCTCCAATATACTTCATAGATGTGATCAAAGAAGAAAAGAGCACTTTGATAAAATGGATTCTTCTCCTTTTCTTTTTTAATCAGCAACTACCCCCCAAAAAAGAGCTCTGGTAGTGTAGTGCCTAAGGCACTTGACTGCTAACCAGAAGGCTGGTGGTTCAAACCCACCAGCCACTCCTCGGAAGAAAGCTTGGGCAATCTACTTCTGTAGTGATACTGCCTCGGAAACCCGAGGAGGGGTCGTTATGAGTCGGGGCTGACTTGACGGCACACAACAACAACAACAACCCCCAAAAAAGATGTTCTGCTATCTTTTTTTTTT